CAATCAAGCTCTAGAAACATTCAGGTTAAAAATATTCTTTTTAAAAAGCACATCCTGTGAGCAACTTCTAGTGCCAACTGCTTACCTCATTAAAGCATAATTTATTCTATTGATGTTGAAGGTAAAATCCTCAAAACAACAGCACAAATGGGGACTGTGGACATTTCAGGGTAAGTCCTCACATAGAAAACTGTCTCCACAAAGGCCACCTGATTTGTTCTGTGTCTTGCCTTAATACAAGAAAAGTTGACAGATATCAATATCCAAAGGTAAGGCACATCAATATCCTAGTAATGACCTAATTCCTAATATTTACATTGGTAATACGTTCTGCAGCTGAATTAATTTGTTCTAGCAATGAAATAACAGCTTTGCCTAAAAATTTTAGGTTGTAAAAAAACCCCAACCAAAACCCAAGCATCCCACCTTATATACTCAATGGGTTAAAATACAATTTCTTTTGCCAGGTGCTTTCCTTGTGCTTGGTTTTTTGAATACAGATATAGAACTAATACCCATCTTCATGGCTCACACTCATTGTGACATATAGTACAATAAAATAATAATTAAAATATATAGTACAATAAAAAAACCTTGACTCACATTGATTTAACTCCACCTCAGGTCCTACAGTTCATAAATGGCAAAACACCAACACATTAAGGTATCTAGTTGCCAGATACAAACCACATTTACCCACTTTTACAACTGAGAAATCCTGAGAATTAAAACAATGGCTTTCTGAGAAGGGAAACATGTGGGAATGATCACTACTAATAACCAACTGGGCACACAAACAGCCTGTAAGAATTACATACAGTTGGATTGCAATTGAATTTGCTGTATTAAAAAAAAAAAAAAAAAAATCAAGCTGTGGCTCCTACATTTCTTGCTAAATTTTACACATTGTTCTGAGATGTCTAAACTTTTTACTTTAAAAACATTTAGATAGTTGTAGTAATTAATGATAAACAAGAAGACAAGGACTTATCCAAAATTATCTCCCCATTTTACCTTTCCCACCCACCTTATCGTATCAGTGTCTGAGAAACACTGTTGCAATTTAGGTACTTCCAACTGGCCAAGTCTAGACCAAGAAATGCTGAAGAGTCCTGTGTTCAGTGAAAACAAGGGAATTGCTCAGTTTAAATAAACTAGTCAGCAAAGGCTAGATTAGAAAAGGAGTGAGGATAGTGGAAAAGATTTCACTGAAATATACCTACCTACCTACTCTTACAATCGTGATCTTGAGAAACACTTGCTCAACCACCTCGCCAAAGGCACTTCCCATGTTTGAACCGAAAAGTTCCCAAGTTGTCTGGAGCTGCATCTTTGAATATGCCCAGAGGGATTTTAGTCCTGACAGAAATGAGCAACTCAGCATCCAGAGCACAACTGAGTTCAAACAGTGGAGAGAAACCAGGCATGTCTGTACCCTGGACAACTGCAAGGGGAGTTCTTAACTAAGTATCTGCAGGCACAAATGGAAAGGGTTCCATTCCTTGACATTCTCACCCACTCCTCTGAACAACAGTTATCTCAGGAAGAACCCAAAGTACAGTGAACACTCAGAATATTCAGATCTCCTTCAGGCCAGTGAAGAGGATCACTCCTTCCCATTTAACTGCCAAGTGATTACCACTGTCATCCTGGAGAGCACTGTAATTTCCAGCTAAATTATCCCATCAGCTTCACCCAGTTTTCTTCCCCTGCCAATAGTGTTGATTCACCAGCTCAGAGCTCAAGACTAGAAGATGGCCACAGAGATTTGTGAGTCAGGCACCTGCTCCACACACTGTTTGTTTTACCTCAGTATTTATTTTAATTTAACACTAAATAGCTACTTAAATGGAAGAGAGGACACGCTCTGTTCTGATTGAGAACCAAGCACTTACCTTCAAGAGAAGATCCTAGAAGAAAAACTCCTTCTCACAGTTCTGAGGAGGTCTGAGATGTTTCCAGCATTCCACTTTCCCTCTGCCCAACCCTTACAGGATCACTACAAGCTGCTCTTTAAATGTCCCAACACAAGGTGCCTTCCTGCAAAGTGCACACACTGAGCTGCATCCTGTTCTGAACTTGCTCCCCTCAAGCAAACTCTCAGACACTCACTTTTCAGGTTATTCAAATTACATCTAATAAAAAAAAGATATAATTTAGTATCTTCAATATCCATCTCGCTGCACTGGAGTCACTTAATTTTAATTACCTTTCTGAATCAACAAATTTAGTAAGTGTACATTCTATACTTACATGAAATGCACAATGGATGCAGGAAATTCTGTTGGAATTTCACTTCTGCACTACCTAAACTTAATTAAGACATAATCCTCCACTGAAGTGTTCCATAATTAGACAATTTATGCATTAGTTTCACATCTACCTTTTCTTTTAATTAAAGTAATATATACATGTGAAAGTGCACTTAGAGCCAAGCATTGATGCTGAACACACAGTATAAACACCAAAACTGTCCATTTTATTTAGCTCAACCTCTAAGCAGTCAAGACCCTGAGATGAGCTCACCTGCTGAGAGCACAGTGTTAATAACCCCAAGGTTGTGGGTTTGATCCCTGTCCAGGCTATTCATGTAAGAGTTGGGCTCGATGATCCTTGTGGATCCCTTCCAACTGAGAGTATTCTGTGAAGTGTTGCATTAACTCCACCCTGTAGTGCATAATTCACTACCAATTTGGCCATGAATTCACAAACAGAATGACATGAAGTATAATTGACAATACTTTAAGTATCATGTATTTTTGACGTGCTTTCACATCGGCCATTCATTATCAAATTTTGAATGCCTAACAATTAATCCTTATATACTGTACAGTGACATACATACCATGAATAAGCCCAGGACTCTCAGGTCATGGATCATATCACTGGCTCCAACTGTAGATTTTTAAGGTGTCAACCAAAAACATGTTTATCCTGCCTGAGGTTAAATACACTGACTAGTGCAAGAGGCATGAGCTGTAGAAGTCATTAGTCTCATGGAAATATTCCCTGGTGTACTAGTTAAAAAAACCCCACCAGAACGCTTTGGATTATTGTGGATTCATGTTTTTCCTCATCTTCTCAATGTGGCTCAGTAGTTTCAACAACGCAGTCGGATTATATGGGAAAAGATTTCTTCTCTGCAACCTAGAAATAGCCTGTTGCAGCTCTTCCAAGCACTTGGTTGATTTATAAAGCATTATTCTTAGGGGAATGATGTTATCCAAGGACGTCATACGAGTCCAACAGGATGAGGGATGAGATCCCTCCTGTTTCAGAGGCAACACTTCAGACGCGCAGATTTTCCAGTTATCAGCCGTGTAGCTGCAACCAGTTCCCCTTCTCCTCTTCTCACCCTCATTGTTTGCAGGCACCTGCTTTGCGTTTACCAAGCACTCTTTTCCATCTGATTCCAACTCGGAGTCTCCCGAGCTGTCGTAATTAACAAGGCTTTGAAGGGAGCCCGGCAGGGCCGCGCTATCGGCGCTTATCAGTGAGTCAGATTCGGCTTCATTATCACCTCGCTCTGCTGTAAACACGCAGCAATCGGGAGAGGAAGACAAAGACGTCGGAGTCGGTGGGGCTGGTTCACAACCAGCGTTTTGCAGACTCTCATCAGTCACACAGCTTTGCTCTTCATCAGTCACACAGCTTTGCTCTTCGGGGTGGGGTGGCTCGGCAGGAGACACGGATTGCAAAGCGCCGTGTTTGGTATCAAAATGGTTACAGACATCTACGAACCGGTGCCACTCTCTCCTAAGAAGCTTTAAATACCTTACCAAGTACTCCAGAAAACAAGTTTCTGATGAAATCAAAAAATCTAGAAGTACTGAGGGATCAAATGCAATCTTTTCCAGAAAAAATAAGAAGATACAGTGTGGATTATATCCACCTGCATGAGTATGGATGTTCCAGGAGTCCTCCTCTTTTTGGCTTAAGTTATCAGCAGCATCGTGTTGTAACCTGGAAAGTAAGTCAAGAAATACACTCAATGAAGTGGAAGTTTACAAGTTTCTTTTTAAAAAAAGCTGTGTCCAGAAGGTGGTATTCTTGCTCTTTTTAATTTTGTCAAAAAGTAAAAACCAAAAAAAGAAGTTTTTGTATCGGAATGAGAAGGAATGAAGGCACGTGGGGCTTGGAGATTGGACAGTTCAGAAAGCCAAGGCACTTAAAGCAGGGCTTAAAGGGCACTACTCCTTAGGAAACATCCTGGAATAATCAAAGGTACAACACATCAACTGTGTTTTAACATATTATAAAATAATATTATATCAATAATTTTGTAAACCTGAACACTTTCAGGATGTTAAGCACATTGGAAGAGTGACCTACTTTAGTTAAGTGTCTAAAAAGGATTGTGTGTCTCTGTTACTTTCATATCTTCACACCTGAAGCTTGAGGGACTTGTATAAATTAGGATAATATCTTGTATGGTAATTTAAACAACAATGATGCACTGAATGTCCAGAACAAACCCATGAAGAACACATTTCAGTTGTTAGCAATTAAGTTTTTATCAGTAGCTACAATTCCTATGGGCCCAATCCTTGGAAACTTTGTCAGAAGTCCTTGAATTCTTGAAGTTTAAGATCCCATTCTTGTCTAACTCTGTGTTGTAAGAAAACAGTGTTGCTTTATATCTGTCTAACCACTATTTTAGGTGTGAAGTCAATTATCCTGAATTACAGGATATAATAAAGTATTTAGTAAGAAATTGTTTCACAACTCCTCTGTTTCAATCCAAAAAAAGACTTAAACAAATCATCAGCTCTTACATCACACATTATTACACTGCCCTGAGGTTTGGGGGTTTTAAATTATGAAAAATAACTTTGATTTATATAAAAGTAACCAATGGGAATGTTATTTATATCACAACAGCCTCACTAAATTACAATTCTTCACAGTTCTGTCAAAAAAAAAGTACACTAACCTATCCAATTTTAAATAAATGAGTAATAAAGCTTTAGCAGCTTCCCACATGTCATCATCTTGCTCTATGAAAATCAAGGAGAGCCATTCACAGTGATGTACAATTGGGTGAGACTGTGGGAAAGGCTTTAGGTGACTCCTCCAGAACACCAACAGCTGGGACATGGAACTCTCAAAGTCTCCTGAAAAAGAAAAAAAGAAGTAACCATGAATTTTGCTATATGGTTTTTTTGTTGCCAAACAACATATACACTTTTTATTTTTCAAATTAACAGTGAATAACAGTTCATGAATGCATTTATCTTTCCTTAGCTCAACTGATTTGACACAGCATCAAATTTTCTACGTTAGTTCTTGCCATTTTAGAGCAGTAGCTTACTCATAAAAATAACTTTATAATCATTAGAGAGACTCCCTTAAGTCAAAAAGCTTACATCTTCAAAAGTAATAATGTACTACATCCTGGTACTAAATATCAGTTTCTGAGGTAACACAGCACACATACAATGTCTAGAAAAGAGAAAAACTTCCTGCAACCTTGAAATCAGTTTTACTCACCACATCACTACGTGATTTTCCTTAATGTTTGACTTTAAGATTTGTTTTTCCTCCTAGCAAATAATAGGAACATCAAATTGTCTTTGTTATTAATAGTTATTATTCAGACTGAAATTCTTCCCTATAAATCAAAGCTATCTGGAAGTGACTATCAAAATTGAAATGAATTAAAGTTAAGCCACTTTAATTCATGTTGGAAAAAAAAAAAGGATCAACCAGCTTCCTGAAAGGGGAGTTACCATATTAAAGAATTTTGGTGCTTGTTTTAACCACTTCAATTGATGTCACTAAAATAGAAGCACCATTCCCTCTCAACTTGAAATTCCTCTTGACAGTTGGGGTATTTGAATCTAATTAAAGAACTCATTTTTGTGTCACGAATCTGGAAAGGAGACTTTTTTTCTTTGAGAATGAATTTTCACAAAGACATCTAAAATAGATATAACCTACATTTGTTCTTTTCACTTGTTCTTAGACAATATATACATTTTTCAGAAGGTGGATCATAAGTTAAATAATCTCTACAATACTTAAAAACTTTAAGAATGCTACTGACATCACAAATATAACATCTTCCAAAATCTGGAAAAAGTGTCAGAAGCTGTCTTACAGAAGTCTGTGGCTCTTTTGCACAGACGGATTAAAAAAGTGACTTTTAGGCTTGCTAAACAGTGTAAAAATATAGAAAGTAAAACAACACTTTAGCTACATGTTTAAATAACATCTAGAACTTGTATTAAAATGTCTCAGTGCATTTAAAATGCTGTAAAATTGCATCCTTGTTTAGAAAGAAATATAAATTTTTTTGCGACATAACTAATAAATACAGGAGTGCCCATGCTCACTTGTATCTGACTGGAAGCACTGCTTCAGAACTGAACTGAAACTGCCTTTCCATTTTTTCCATGCAATCCAGGACAGCACTCTGCTTTGATCATGGAATCTGCACGTCCACATTCACCCAGCACAGCATCAGAAGTGCATCATGTGCTCCCAGATGGAAAAAGGCGAGTGGGAAGCCGGGATTCCAGGAAGGCCTCTCAGGCAGAAAGCCTCACCCCAGTGCCTCATTAGAGCATGGGAGAAGGGCTGCTCCCGGGCTCCCAGGGTGACACAGCAACGCGTCCTCTCCCCCCAGGAACACATTCCCTGCCATCCCACCCCACTGCTGCCTCCTGGCATCTGCCCTTCTCCCAGTCTGATCCATGAGCTCAGGACAAACACACTCAGGTAGGGAGGTATGAGAGGAATGCTCAAGGTATGCTCACACCTACTAATTGAAGGGACAGACCCATCAGTCAGGGTGAAGGACACAACCACTTTACATAAGAAGGATGTGGACCTGTTGGAGCAAGTCTAGAGATGCTCTAAGGGCTGGAGCACCTCTGCCATGGAGACATGGGGTGCCATGGACACATGGAGAGCTGGGGTGTTCAGCCTGGAGAAGGCTCCAAAGTCAGGAGCCCCTCTGCTCTGGAACCAGGCTGAGAGAGATGGGGGTATTCACCTGCAGAAGAGAAGGCTCCAGGGAGACCTCAGAGCCCTTTCCAGTGCCTGAAGAGGCTCCAAGAGCACTGGAGAGGAACTTTGGACAAGGGCCTAGAGGGACAGGACAAGGGGGGAATGGCTTCCCACTGCCAGAGGGCAGGATTAGATGGGATATTGGGAAGGAATTCTTCCCTGTGAGGGTGGGGAGGCCCTGGCACAGGTTGCCCAGAGAAGCTGTGGCTGCCCCATCCCTGGAAGTCTGTCCAAAGCCAGGCTGGACAGGGCTTGGAGCAACCTGGTCTGGTGGAAGGTGTCCCTGCCCATGGCAGGGGGCTTGGAACTGGCTGATCTTTAAGGTCCCTTCCAATCTAAGCCATTCTATGATTACATGATAAGTCCCATAATTTCCCTGTGCCTTACTTTGGAGCTTCATTATTTTTATTTACCTTTCTATCACACTGTTGGTTTTGCCTCATTAAATTACTTGTCTGACAGTAATGCCTTGCACTTTCAATAAAATAAATACATATTGGTACCTAAAGTTCTACCTCCATGTTAGAGAGAGAAGAGCGTTACCTGCAGTTCCTTTCAGTTCCCCACCCTGAACAGATGCTTGTGCTATGGACTCGCTTCTTTTCCAACTGGAGAAGAGCCTGATGTTCCCAATCTGGCTCAGCTATTTCAAGTATTAACACATGTTCTAAACAGGAAAAGTTTTCAAGCCCAAATGCAGCTGTTTCCAGCCCCCCTAAATTGCAGGGATTGGATAAAATGCAAGGAGACAACCAGTTAGGCAGGACACAGCACCAACAGGTTCCTTGGGTGGGTCTTCTCTTTCCTTCCTCCCTCCTACCACCACTAATTCAGCTGAAATTATTTACAGCCTTAATGAGCTGTGATTACAAAATCCAAAAGCTTTAAAACTTTCTGCTTGACAAACAAAACTAAAAAAGGACTGTTACCTTTGATTTCTGCTTCTGCTGCGGAGTTGTGAATCTTGAATTCCAGTGCTTTAAGCACAACCAGACTTAAGGCTCTGAGAACAGTTTGGTCAGAAGCACCCTGAGGATCATCTCCAGGAGCAGGTTCACTGCTCCCAAAGTAGCTGGACTTTTCATCGAGTGGGATCTGATTAAGCCAAGTTAAAGTCACAACCTGCAGAACAGCATTGCTCAGTGCAAGCACATCCTCACACAAAGGCAGGGCTTGTAAGGACACTGATCCACTTCCAGCATCTTCTCTACACTTGTGAAGGACACATTTTTTAAGGAGCAAAATGAATTTCTTCTTGATTACATAGGGAATTGATGAGCTAATGAGGTTCAGGATATAGGAAACTTTCAAAAACAACACTCTCTGGCACCTCAGTGGTAATTCCAGTTCAGTTCTGGAGGCCAAAAGTGCTTCCAGTAGATCTATAAAACTGATCAGGTTGGTTGTAGCTTCAGAATAAGGTGAAGTATAGTGGTGACTGTCAAAGTGATGGAACAGGATGGCATTATAAAATCCTTCAAGCACAGCATCAAGAGGAGCCAACAACTTCTTCAAAACCCCTAAGGCAACAAAGAACACATTATTGAGCTGATGTGTAACACGATCAGATAAACCAGTGAATAAGGAGTAAAAGTAAGTGTTGGGACTACTTTCAGATTTTAAGTGTGTTTAAACCAGTACATTTTAATAGCACTTTATACCCCCTTTCAAAGGAAGGGAATGGGTGTTCCAGAGCCCCGGCTCCTGATGAATTCCAGGTGATATTGCTCCCCCTGGCGGTACCGTCACAAAATCGCCCCAGTACCTGCTTTGGGTAAAACCGCGTTTTTCAGGATCTCCTTGATAATCGCTGTCAGAGTCCACAGACAATCTGCAACCGGGGTATTCCCGGGAAATCCCAAGAGAGTGTTCAGAGTAAAGCTGAGCCAGGTGACATTTAATGCATTCTAAGAATGATTCAAAAAACAATCACATATGTTTCCAGTTGCTATGCAAATAAATTAAATCATAACATCAACGATTTTAAACTGTACAATAAAAAGATTCAAATGTAGGCACATTTCTACACAGGTAGAAACAATCTCTCTGTCCAATGCCTTTAAAGTACTTAGGCCTCTAGTTACAAACATGAAGTCACACATGCAATGCAATAGAAATTATGTGGATGTTCCAGAAAGGGAAAAACCAAACCTCCCCATGCCATGGGACCCACCCAAAATCAGATAATGCTGTAAACAGATCATATCTGAATTCATAACTCCCAGACCCAGACAACTTGGCAAGAAATATTACAAACGTAATTCCGAGATAAATCTATGTTCAGAGATGCTACTATGGAGGCTGCAATATATATTCACTAAATATACATCAAAAAAACCCTTGGAATATTCAAACAAGAAAATGCAGAAAAACATTTGATTAGCTTCCAAGAGGTTGTCACTTGTTATGTACTTCATCACCTAACAAATATCAAGGAACTGTAAAAATATTGATAATGAAATACCTGTACTGCAACCTTAAAGAGAGTGTTTCTTGTAATCCACACACATTTTACCCTAAAAGAGCTCCATGAAATTCCAGATTTTTATATATAAGACATTCCACACTTCTGCTACACATCTGATCTCCTTGCTTTCCATATTCCAGGCTCCTAATAGAGCTTAGTTTCTTGGAAAATACAAACACTATAAAAACTTGCTGTAGAGTCAAATGGAGAAACCTGCAGGCACATATTCATTTGGCCATTTTTTTCAGTTATGAAGCTGTGCCATACTCACCTCTTCCTTCAGCTGGAAATACACCAGAGCTGCCAAACTTTGGGAAGCCATGTGGGATAACAGCTGATCGTGAGGAGCGAGCAGAGAAACCTGGGGACACGTAGAGAGGAAAAGCACCTAAGGCACGTTCCTTTTTATTTTTCCTTCTCTCACAAAAATCCTTCACAAGTTTACAAAGCTTACCAGTTTTGAGTCAGTTTTTGCCTCCTTCAGAAGAAGGACAAAGATCTCACAGTACTTCAGTCTCGTGCTGGATTCAATTTGCTGGGACTCTGCTTTAGCCACCATCATCTTGATCAGGGTTAACTGAAGCAGCATCACTTCTCGTGGACAGAACGAGGAGCTCATGTTGGCAAAGCTGTTTGATAAATCATCTGCTGCAGGGACAACCATATCAGCGTCCTGATCGCTCCCAGTACCACCAGTAGGAGGTGGGAGATGCCTCTGGTGACAGGATTCATCTCCTCCTGCTGGCTGCTCAACACTCAGAGTAAGTAAAGAGGAATAATGATGGCTTTCCTTGGCTAAGGGAATTCCTGCCAGGACATCCTTGTACATCTGCTGCAGGAGGGAGATCTTCATCATGAGGGCATGCAATGTTCCAGAAAATGCTCTATGTCACCACTCAGAGCAATAAAAACTGAAGCACCACTGGGCATTTCTCTTTGAAGTTACCTAGAAATAAAATATTTTGCTGTTACTGAACTTAACAAGCAACTAGAAAATAACAGAAGCACAACACACATTTTTAGAGTTAATACCACCATTATTAAACTTACTTGGAAAATGCAAATTCAGCTGCACAAAACTGTCCCAGTGAGATATTAAAATGAAGAATTACCATGCTGGGAAGAAGTTTACAGTTCCAATATTATATTGACACCAAAATGACTTTGCTGGAAATAAAACCAAAGGTTGCTGTTACTGGGGACTACTGCTAAAGATACGAGAACTTGGATCGAATCTTTTCTCTACACTGCTAAAACTACTAAAACCTAAATTCTTTTGTGCCTCCAAAAACAGGCATAAAATTTAAACTGCAAATGTTCAGTGTCCCATTAAGGCTGGAAATGGCAACATCTCTCAAACAAATGAAAACCAAAGGACAAGTCTTGATTTTCCCTGCACTCAGGCTCAAGAGGGGCTGATCTTAAAAGGGCCCAGTGACTACGAAGTTGCAAATTATAAAATACTTTCAAAACAAAGTGTAAAACTTACTAAGTGCCAATAAGAATACTTAACCATATTCAGAAAAGGTAAAAAAAAAAAAAAAGCCTTTATCCCCATGTCAGTGGAACATATCTTTTAATCCCAGCACTAGAACATTCATTAGAGCTTAGAAAGAAGAGCTATTAAGAATTCAAATCTCTCCTTGAAGTGTGAGCACCCACAAATGTAAACGGCCAGACAGATATCCCATCTGCCCAGAAAACAAACATCAGGGTTTCTTTTTCACCTATATCAAGAGCAATGCTCATCTGTAGTATTTATCTTTTTAGGGCAGTTTTAACATGTTCTCTAACAAGAACTCTTTTAATTAAAAACAACAAACAAACTCATTACCTTTATCTGTGGAGAAGTTGGGAGTGGGACTTCAGCTGCTTATAGGAATTTTCCTTTTGCATGATTTTTGGATTGCCATCTCTAGTCTGGCATAATCAACCAGGGAGACTTCCAGGCAGGCTCCTGCAGCCATCCATCTGTATTTGGCTTTTATTTAAACGTAGCATTTCTCCTTTTTTACCAAAGAAAACAGCTCATTCTTCCAGCCTGCAAGAAATTCTAAAGGTTATTCATCATCAGATCAAATATTTTAAATTACTATTTCTTCTTAGCAGTATATAAGAAAAAAATGAAACTGCATAAGTCAGTATGTGAGGTGTTTTTGGTTTAGTTTATAATCTTCATAAGTTCTTAAAAGAATATCAAACACTGAGAATTACACCTGCATTTTTACCATCTGATTTTTTAAGTGCAACTGAAGCACATACTGACAAAATAGCTTCCCAAAGGATTAGTTAGACCAAGATATTCTACTCAGACTCCTCATTTCTTCCACCATCCAGAAGCATTTCCTTCAGAAGAAAATGTAAAATTTGAGAGCATGAAGTTGCCTGCAGGAGTGACCTATGATTCACTCAGGTGTGGTATTTTTAAAGACACATCCAGCAATGGCTGAGCTGAAAACTCCAAAATGTTCCAGCATGTTCCTGACCTAATAGGACCAAGAACCCTTCCCCCATTCCTTCCTATATTCCACATTTTAGATGTTAAGAATAAATCTGATACTTCAGGCATTAAATTCCTCCTTCGTTTGCAGAATCTCTTTGGAATTCTACTTGAGGTGGAAATTTATGACTTGAAACCTCGTAACATTTCTGCAGCAATCATTCTGTGAATATTTTATAAGGCTATTGTTCCTATATTTGAGTTTTATTTCTTCCTAAATTAATACCTAATAAAATGAAATTATCTCAACACATTTACTTCTGTGTTCAAGATCCACTTGAATTATCACCCTGCGTGGTAAACGGACAGATCTCCTGCACCAATTCACACAGTCCAGCCAGGTGGTTAAAGCAGAAGAGATTCACACCTTTTCTAGGACATTTTCCTTCACATGATAATGTTTGTGATTTCTTGATCCTACCATAACACATTTATGTTCTACCATTAATTACTTTATAAAAACATCTCTAAGATATGTCTCACTCACTCACACATGACAACAGCTCACAAACATAAGTCACAAAAGGAAATGAAAAATGAGGGGGCTTATTTTGAAGAAATTTACTTCAAAGAGGGAGAAAACATCAGACAAGGACTAAATTTGTTTCAGGCACGGCAAGAGAGCACCGTGAAAAGCTCAAAGCTGAAGAGTAAAGAAAAGGAATCGTATTCATACACAAGAAATGACAAACTGCAACCCTTACTTGTATTATTTATCTGAGTTATTCATGACAGCATCTAAAAACCAATTAAGGTAACGCCTCACAGTGCCAGACTCCTGCATAAACAACAGGAAGCAGTTCAAAAACCTTATATATAGATCAGGCAAAAGACAGAAAGGAGAACTACACAGACGATAAAAAAATCCCAAATAAATATTTTGCTTTATGTTATTTTCACGATTAATAAGGCTTTAAAGTCAAAACCAAAGTCAAGCGGGGCTGCAAACAGAATGAGAGAAGAAACTTGGTGGAAAAGGTAATGAGGAACTGAAGATGAAAACTCAGATGGTGATTGCAAACACCTCCAGAATATCCTAAATCAGAGTTATAAAATACATGTATCTCTACAAAGTGGGATATTTAATTTAGCAGAAAGTCATGCAAATTGATTTCATAGAATCACAGAATGGTTTGGGCTGGAAGGGACCTTAAAGCTCATCTCATTCCACCCCCTGCCATGGGCAGGGACATCTTCCACTAGCCCAGGTTGCTCCAAGCCCCGTCCAACCTGGCCTTGGACACTTCCAGGGATGGGGCAGCCACAGCTTCTCTGGGCAACCTGTGCCAGGGCCTCACCACCCTCACAGGGTGATTCCTTCCTAATTTAACTGGATTAACACTGTTGATACCACATTTCCCTTTTTTTTTTTACTAACACAAAACAGCTTATGATGACACACAATTACTCAGGGATATTACCGAAGAGGCATAATTATCTACTGTCAAGTTTTTTGCCTGTATTATTTTTCCCCTGTTGTATATACTCTTAAATGTTAATCGCATGAGTAGCAAGTGGGAGAAAACAAACTATCCAAAAACTCGACTCTCTTTTCATTAAAAAATTAGAAAAGGCAAAATGAAACCACAGCCCGTGACTTTTGGGTGGGAGTTTGCAGGTGCTGCGTTTCCTTATAATGAAGTGGTTGAAGCATTTAAGAAATAAAACACACTTTGAACTACTTGTACTTGCAGTGACTTCGTAGGCTCATCTCTCAATAATCTGCACCTCAATGGCCCCTTATCTCTCACACTGGCAATGGCAGGCTGGGCACTGGGAGGAACCCTGGCTGTCAGGGACACCCGGCGAGCACGGACGTGCCGCTTCTCCAGAGCCTCCACAGCCCCTCCTGAGGGCATCTGAGCCTTTCCGCCCCTCCAACAACGCGGCTTCTCGCCCCAGGAAGTTCCGAGACCCTCAGCCCAGCGGACCCGCCCGGCGACCCCTCGTTCGTTCGCCCACCCCGAGCCGCCTCCGCCCGTCCCGGGCCCCCCCCCAGGGCCCCCCCCTCAGGGCTCCCCCCTCAGCCCCTCCCGCCCCCGCCTCGCGCCCCAAGGCCCCGCCCCTTCATGTCCCGCCCCTTTCAATCCACTCACGCCCCTCGCGCTCTCAGGGCCCCGCCCCTTTTGTGATAAGCCACGCCCACAACACACAAGCCCTGCCCTTTTCACTCCAGGCCCTGCCCCTCAGCCTC